TCATTTAGGATTGGTATCTCCTAAAAATATCTTTTTGTTTTCACCTTATTTTTATTAACATGTTATAGAAAGGTTAGCGTTTTAATTACGTTAGGTTAATTATATTAGGAAGATTATTAACACTCTTCTATCACAAAACAAAACAAAAACATGGAATATACCGGTAGTTTATGTGGCAATATGCACTACTGGTATATCTAGCGTCAACACTTGCACTTACAAATAAAAGGAGAAGGACAATAGTGACATATAATGGTGGGAACTGGTGTCATCTGGAACTAAAATATTTTTTCAAATAAATGTCATTATCTATGTCAAATTGGGTTTTCTGGCTGGATAAATATATAATTTTTTTTAAATAAATTGTTTTTGTGTCAGACAACAGTTCTGAACATTTCTCTGTTGTCTCTCCTGACTTTTTTGAATGTGCAAATTGCAAGTGATAGTGCTGACAGGTAGTGCATTTTTGCCACAGAAGTCGTATTCATGTTCGGGTCTACATAACAGGACTGTGTGACCTATCATAATAGCATTATTGCAGTTCAATGCGTTGTCCTGGCATCAACCAGGTTTGTAGAATGCACACTCCTTTTAATGTTCAGTCGAAATATATAATTTAATTTTTTGCAGCTTCACATATTAGAATTGGGTCCTCACTTAGCAGGGAATACATCTCTTAGCAATCACTGCGATGAACTCAATTTTTCACAAGCTGATGAATTCAGGCATGATTTTCCTGTCGCAATGGAGGTAAGTTATCACTAAGCTCAATCATTAAAGTGCCTGTGCAATGTCACCCACATGCTTCCCATTTTAGATCTGTGCCCCACTGAAATGGGCAGTTATTGATTTTTTTGCTGAAAATGATTACTCGTATCCATGTAAATTTGAGATATTTCCTGTGCTGTAGCCACGCCCACCTATCCTGAAACTGTCGACTCTCGCCGAAAGTGCGCCACCAAATGCTAAAATATGAGAGGAAGCCATATCACTGTGTCATTCAACATACTTTTAAAGGATATACATTTTTTGATCGGCGTTTCTTTTTTTTTGTCTATTTTATTTTATTTTATTTTTGAGAAAGAGAATTTTTAGAGGTTGTTTTCACAACAAACATTTATGATGGTTAAACATTGTGTTGTGGGCGGTTGCAGTAATGCGTATAGTCATAGTGAAGGTGCGAAGTTGGTGGACGAAAGCCATGAAAATAACGAGAAAAGGTTGGGGTAGACTTCCTCCTTAAGCGTCAAATGTAGTGTCCACTTCACCTCATTTTTTTTTTCCGTAAAACTGTTCTTGTTCATGACAAAACAACTAGGTTTTAACGAGAAACGCCAACAACTTAAACCTGGCGCAATAAAAAATGTTTACAAAAAAATAGATTCCAGACCAGGCGGATTTTAGAAGGGAGAGAGACGCTGGGTAAGTGTTTCAAATGATTTGACTTTTTTTGCGATCCTGATTATCGCTTTATAGAGACCACCCGTGTTATGTAAAAGGTAGCAGTAATTTTGATAATGACACGACAAAGAAGCGTCGGACAAACAAGAAATTACGCAGTCCTGTTTTCATTTTCGCAGGCTAAAAGTGTCTGAATTGTTCGGTGATTGGTGTTGAATGTCGAATTCACACCTTTGTTGTTTTTACTTGCAGCTTGATCTGCGTAATAATTATGGATTAAGAATCCGGGCTTGGGCTGTCAATGTGTTTTCAACAAGTATATTTTTAATATGATGTCATAATTATGAAAATCACGCTAAATCCTCTCGGAATTTGTCTGTATGCGAGTTGCACTTGTTCCCGTCATGACCCGACGCGTTCACCCATCACAACAAATTTATTTCAACGCGGCTGTCATTTATTTAGTAACTGTGATTTGTCGTTTTTTTAATTATTTCTCTATTTTATTGATCACTATAATTCAATGTTTAGAATGTCAAAATATGTTCTCTTTTTATTTTAATTTTGAATGTTTTTTTTTTACTCAGATGATCGTTGAAATAAAACAGTGTAGTGACGTGCCTAGTAACCTGCTAAATAACAAGACGATTCAGGCGTCAAATTTGATTTTGTCCAATGTCCAGTGACAGTGTACAAACGTGTGCCGGTGACGGTCACGACCACGGTGACTAGCTACACCAGACCGGACATATTTCGCATCTGACCTCAACCCCATGCAACAAACTTGATACTATCGTGTTCATTATGGTCCATTCTTACTCGACGAACAAGTACATAAGTGGCAATTTAGTCAAAGATGAGAAAACAGCACAAGAATTTCACCTTATTTACACGTATCGGCAATGCAAGCTGCTATGCGACTTCCCCTTCTGACGTCACAAGGGGAATTTCTGTATGCAAATGAGAAGCTAATAAGGAGCCTCGTTTTAAAATACACAAAAATAAAGTTGCCGTAGACTGAATTTAAAAGGCATTTTTTCACTTAAAAAAATAATTTATGCTTAGAAACATAAATATTAATAAAATTTATGTATCAATGGATAATTTTAGGTGTGAAAATAGCAGCCATTTCACAGGCACTTTAAGTTAAGCCATCTATTTGTTTCGCTATTTTAAGTTAGTCAGAAGATAAAATTTCATTTAAATGTG